ATATTTGCTAATAAAATCTGGAAACTAAATTTAAAATTTTTATACACATTTATAAATGAATTTCAAAACTATATATGCAGTAGAATCTTAGAAATTAGAATACGTCCATTCATTGGAATTTTAGAAGTATTATATTTGTAAATATATATAATATATTTACATAAATATATATAATGTATATATTTATGTAAATGGTGCACCAAACACCCTACGTTTGTCCGATTGAAACGAAATGTTGGATGCTGTATTGAATTGAGTCTACAATGACGTGTGTAAAGTTTTGTCGAAATCGGTTCAGATTTAGATATAGCTCCCATATATATTTTCGTCTGATTTTATGTAAATGGTGCACCAAACACACAGGAATTGTCCCATTAAAACAAAATTTGGCATGACGTAAGTTCAGGATAGAGTGTGTAAAGTTTCATTGAAATCGGATTATATTATATATATATATATATATATATATATATTTATATATAGGGGAGCTATATTTATTTCTGATCCGATTTAAATAAAATTTTACACAATTTATCATAGGTTAATTTCCATACATTACGTCAATAGGATGAACCGTGTGAGTTTGGTGCCCCATATGTATAAAATCGGACGAACAATTAAATTGGAGATATATCTAAATCTGAAACGATATTCACCAATTTCAATAGGATTCGTCCTTGGGCCACATAAATGAGCTGTGCCAAATTCCATGCAATTAGGATCATATATGCGACCTTTACTTTGTTTAAAATTTAACATGGACAGACAAACGGACATGCATAAATCGACTCAAAGTGCTTCTATGCATATTCTCATAAAGAACCATAGATCGATCTCGTTTATTTTTGCCTGTTACAAATATATGCCGAAAGACATAATACCCTGTACGACAGTGTGGTGAAGGGTATACAAATCCATCCATCTTTCTTTTGTTACAATTTCCAATTTGAACCTTTCTAATTTCTGAGATGTTACTGTATTATTAAAGATATTATTCTAAAAATAAATATCAGTTAATAGCCTGATTTATAATTCGTCATATGAATTACATTAAACTTACATAATTTTTCGTAAATTGAAATTTAAAAAACATATCGGCATTTTGCATTGACATAATACAATCTTTGAGGTTATGTACCTTTGATTCTTGACCATTAGTTTTGCTTACTTGAGGATTATTCACAATCTGATTTTGACTGTGTACTCCAGTGAAATTTTCTTCAAATGCATGCAAATCATAATTTAAACCATTATTTTCTTTGGTCTTTAAAAATTCCAATGTTGCCAAAGGTGTATCCGTAGCCTGATAATTTCCATTTAAATTTGGGCAGTAATCTAATATTTGATTATTAAAATAATTTTGAAATGGTACAATGCTATCCGAGGCGATAATATTTGTAGCTGGTAGATGAGTTATGGATGGAATCAAGTTCTCACCATTATTATTGGCTATTAATGGCGCTAATGGTTCCGTGGTAAGTAGCTCATCTTTTTTAATTGGATTATAGGTACCAGTTTTAAAATAGGTGCCATTCACTGTGGCCTGACGTTGACTATCTTCCGAGTCTTCGACCATTGTATAAATATAATTTCTATTTAAATAATTGCCATTTTGATCCAAAGCGTTGTCATCGAGTAAAATATTGGGGGTGGTCGATAAAAGTTTAATGGGTGAGGAGTTACTGGTATTTAGACAACCTCCACCACCACCAGCACCGTTTGTTGATATATCCGATTTTTGATAGGCATTCTTTTGTGATTGCACTAGGTTATCCAAGTTGACAAATGATTTGATGAGACTTTCAATGAAATCCATAGTTGTATCTTGCCATGCGGCAAAGGCCAAAGCAAAATCTGGACTGAGAGCCGCCTTGACTTTATTCAAACCCTCGGGGGTATTGTAAACATAACCCTTAATTATTATCCAAGCATTTATGATGCGCGTAAAAACAAATATGAAATCCTTGACAGCCCATGCAATGCCTTGGGAATTAATATTGGGTAATACACCATCGGGACGTATTAGATCTTGTTTCAAACGGGCACAAAGGCTATCGATTTTCTTAAAACATGGACGATTGCGATGAGTTTTAGCTAAATTTTCAGCAATGTCACTGCCTCTAAGGGCCAAACGTCTTAAATCGTTGAAACGGGCCTGAGAAAGATAAACCTCATTTGCCGAGGCTTGAGAGCTATTCGTTCGCATAAAATTCATGGTGGAGGCATCACCGCCAGCTGCGTTGTCACTGTGGATAATTAAAATATGAGAAAGAAATTGTTTCCACTATAAAAAGTATAATTTTAAACTACTTACTCAGCATGCAAAGGTAAGGGTGAATTGCATAAAGATGCATTGGAATCTAAAATAAAGGGAAAGATTACTATTTTTATGTCCTTCCTTAATTTATGAATTGAATTATTTGGGTTTCAATCACACAATGACAACTGAGTATTTTCATGTTCAATTTTCAATATCATCTTGAATAAAATTCTTTTTTATTTAGTACAATAACAACTGACTATTATAAGGCTCAGTTTTCATTATCTTCTTAAACCCGACACGTTTCAATTTCTAATAATTTTTTAATCCATCTTACCCTTACTATCCTTCTCGCCGGCCTTCTGGCATGCGGTTGAATAGCAAAATTTACCCAAATTCAATTTATTTGCCGAATCATAAATCGTATTTAAATTCATAGGGGAATTTTGTGAGACGCATTGAATTTGAATATTAATTTTATTGGAATCATTTAAAGATGTATTTTGACCACTATTGGTGCCTCCTGCATTTAAATTACGTTCTGGTTGTTGTTGTTGTGGCATTTGAATTTGTTGACTGCCGGCTGCCGATGATGAGGAGCTGCTTGAAAAGCTAGAAAGTGGTGAACCAATATTACACTGTTGAGTGCCCTGGAAAATGGGTACTGTTGCCGTGGCATAGGGTCCAGTTGCAATTGCAGCATATGGTAGGGCCACATTGGCTGGTATCATTGGCGAGAGGAATGTGGTTGTGCCAAAGGGCCAAAGAGCATGCATTTCTAGAAGAAAAATTTTAAGAAAAAATAATAACAAAATATTTTTAAAAATTTTAATGTAAATATAATAAATAAATAATTTTTAAACATATTTTTGTCCGATTTTAGGTAAATAGTGCACTAAAGTAACTTTATATCCCTCGATTTTCAGGAAATTTGGCATAGCGTACTTAATTGAGTCTAGAATGATGTGTGTTAAGTTTCGAGAAATTCGGGTCAGATTTAGATATAGCTCCCATATATATTTTCTACACTAATATTTTTTTACACTAACATTTCTACAAAATATTTGTAAAAATTCTTACCCTGGTGGTAATAAAGAAATATTAACAATTGCTTTTAAAAAATCTTATCTTTAAAACAATTTTTTAAATATTGTTTTAGAATTTTTAATTTTTTTAATTCTAAACTTGTTGATAATCCTAAATATATTCTTAAAATTTCTAGCCCTGGGGATAATAGTTGCAACAATCTTAAAAAATTGTTTTTTTAAAATTCTACTCCTGTGGATAATCCTAAAAAACATTAATTGTTTTTGAAAGCCCTTTTTGAAATCCCACTCTGGTGAATGTCATTAAAAAATATATCTTTTCAAATTTCACTCTTATGAAGGTCCTTAAAATTTATATTTAAAAATAAAATGTATCCTCGAACTGATTTTTTTTCTTTCATGGTTTAAAAAATATAAAAAATAACATTTAAAAAAATGCTTATTAATGGCGTTTTTAAACCCCACACTGTTGGAAGTCATTAAAAAAGATGTTTTTTTTCAAAATTCACTCTTATCGCGTTCTTGAAATCTATTTTCTTATAAAAAATACCCCCCATGCAAATACTCACATATCTCAATTTCCATCCATTAACCCACCTTTGACATCATTGACATTTTCAGGTGTCCCATTCCCAAAAATATACTCACCTTGACTTATAATTGGCAATCTTAAATGATCCATAGTTTGTTGCTGCTGTTTCAGTGGTGTCGTGGAATTAAATGCTGGGATCGAATTACACAAATTTATATTGGAATATTGAATATCTCCTTCACCGCTCGCAAAGAATGATGATGGATATTGCGGCTGTCGCTGTTGTTGCTGCTGCTGTTTTTGGTTGTAGTCTGGGCTTAGAGTTGCATTTGCATTATTATCCAATTGTGGCTGCTGGCCTGCTGATGTTGAACTTCCGTTGCCCAATATTTTGCGTACTGGATGAAAATCAAAATTAAATATTAAAACAAAAATTAATGGTGTATTTGTGCCTTTGTATTTGCAACGCAACAATACCAAAGCCTACTTGTAACCAAAAAAAAGAGTTTCATTCTAACCTGAAATCAGTTGGGGGCTACACTGTTATGCTACTGGGAATAAGTTATTTGCAAGTAAAGATTATTTAATTCTAATCCAATTAGAAAATTCATAACTTACATTTAATATTTCCATTTTGTTGAGACATATTCAATTTATTTGTCTTTAAAGAATATGCAAACACACATTTGCGCCAATTCCAAAGGAAAGGGAAATTATCTGTTGTTGTTTCAACACACAATGCAACCGTGTTTGGTGTTGGTAGCACCAAGGGGAATTGTTGTTTGCTCTCAATTGTTTATTTCCTTTTACTTTCAATAGTTGGATACAATAAAACGGTGGCTTTATTGTTGAATTTATAGTTTTTTCTTAAATAAACCACGAATAAATTAAATATAAAAACAAGGAAACACAAAAAAATGAACTTAAAAAAATATGAGCGTCCCTTGCCGTTTGAAGAGAGCCAGTTGTTATTTTCTTTTATCTAGTCACTATTGTGAATTATCACGGATGTTGGCCGGCAGAGTTGCATAAATGTGGTTTCATTCATTTCACTGCTGTGTTAACCATTCATAGTGATTAGTAGTGTTCAAGCAGTAGATTGTTATTGGTTCATGGTACAATTATAAAAGGTAACAGCAAATCCCAGCTGATTTGATTCCAACGTAATACTAGTGTCAATATGAATTTGACAAATTATGTTTTTAAAAATCACCCAACAGGAAAATTGGGAACGCATACAATTTGAAATTGTTCTTTATTAAATGTGCTCCCGTATTCAATTTACTCAATCTGCCTGCTGGGAAAGTTTGAGGAAGCAAATCTTTCTTCAAGGAATAACTCGCTATTCCCAGCATTTTCATATGAGTTACACATATATATAGCAATGGCTCAATTATAGGAAAGATGTGGAAGCGATAGAAATATAAATTTGATAGATTTTCATTCATGTTTTTCAATTTTTATTTTGAGGATTCGAAAATATTTCATTTTCAAAATAAAAATAATTTGATGATAATTTGTTTGTTTGTTTACATTTTTCTGTCAAATGAGTTGACACTAGTAGAACTTACAACAACAAATTTCCATGTGGTTGTTGTATCGTTTTTTGTACAACAACACTTGCTGTTACCTTCTATTATTATACCATGTTATTGGTTGTTATTTTTAAATCGTTTGGTTTTTCTGTAATTTTCAATAGAAATAAATACTGGTATTTCCAAAAAAGAGGTATTATTGTGATATTCGAAATTGTTGCAACGGAAATACCACATAGTTAAAAAAACACCTTTTGTTGTTAACACCAATGTATCAGTTTGGTTCAATAATTGGAAATATGTAAACATAATTTTTTATTATACAATTTGCCAACATACTTTGTTGAATTCTAAATAAGATATATTTGTTAATTATGAAAATATAATACAAGAATCGTCAATAAAAATTCTAGAATTTTAAATAAATCAATCACAATAGTATTAGAAGTATTTTTTGCCGTTTTAATCTACTTTCTAAGGATTTATTTGGCAATATATCATTCGTTATAACGGGAGTTCCTGCTTATTTTTTAATTTATTATTGGATGTTTTTAATTATTTTTTTCCATACAATCTTGGATTTTTTAAATTATTTTTTCAAGATCTTCTTCAGGTTTGGATTCAGATGAGTATATTTTTAAATATTATGATTACAGCCATGGTACACCTAAATAAGGTATGGTAGCTTTCATATGACATATTCTGTTAATTTGACATATTTTTAACATTTTACCAAAAATGAAAAAAAAAATGAATGGAATGTCAGGTTTGCTTTTCAAAATCGAGTTGGAGATATGCTTTACAAATCATACATTTCTTTTTACGAATGTTGTAAAATTCAACTTCAAACAAATCGATTTTCGAATATAGTCACACATTTTGCATATGACTTTGGCATAACAAAACTGTTATTTATAAGTTGTTATGGCCCACCTTGAACCATTTTCTAAATATTTCACTGACATTTCATAAAATTTATTTATTATTTTGTTTTAATTTACAAAAATAAATATCGATTGATTGGTGACAGACTATATAAATAGATGACAGATAGAGGACATAAATTTTATAAATGGTAGCTAGTGAAAATATATGATTTTCCTTTAAAAAAGAGGGCGTATTGTCAACCTAATATTGTTAAATATTCTTGTGTTTATTTTTGTAAATATTTATTTATAATATTTCATTTTTAAAACAGTTAACATATGACATCTTTTAGAATTAAAAAAGTGACCACTTTTTAATAATAAATAAAACTTTATGTGTTGTTTTGAATTACCCTGTATTTCGGTAGCAAACAATTTCGAATACCACAACAACACCTTTTATTGGAAAAAACACAGTGTTTATTTTGAGAGTTAAAGATAAACAAATCGGTTTAAAAAATAACATACCAATATATCAATCTACTGATTAAACACCACTAATCACTATAAATGATTAACACAGCAGTCAAATGAATGAAAGTAAATTTCTGCAACCCTGCTTGCCAACATCTGTGATCATTCACAATAGTAAAAAGATAAAAGAAAAAAACAACTGGCTCTCTTCAAAAGTCCCTTCAAAGGAACGGCCATTATTTTACTTAATTTTTAGTTTTTCCTTGTTTTGTTTTAATTTAATTGTCATTTATTTAAAAAAATAATTATAAATTCAACAATAAAAATCATTAAAACACGATTCAAACCCCAAAAAAACTAGAAGAACAAAAGGAAAGCAAACACCATTTCCCCTTGTTACAGCAACAACAAACAAGGTTGTATTGTGTGTGTGGAAACAACAACAGATAATTTCCCTTTCCTTTGGAATTGGCGCAAATGTGTGTTCGCAATTTATTTAACGCCATTGTAAAAATAATATGTCTCAACAAAATGTTATATGTAATGTAATTGAAATATCAAATGTAAGTTGTAAATTTTCTAATTAGAATTGAAATACATAACCAGTTTTGCAAATTATCTATTTCACAGTATCCCTCAACTTATTAGGTTAGAATGAGACACAAAAACATCAAGGACCACAGCCGCAATATCTATCATCATCATTTTTTGTGAACGGTGAAGGTATTCTAGACACCAATATAGATTTGTGTAATTCGATTCCGGAATTAAATTCTATGACATCACTGAAACACCAACAACAAACTATGGATCATTTAAGATTGCCAATTATAAATTGAGGTGAGTATATTTTGGGGATTGGGACACAGAAAATGTCAATGATGTCAAAAGTGGGTTTATGCATATGAATAGAGATATGTGAGCTCCTGCATATTAATTTCAAGGAACTTCATTAGAGTGGATTTTGAAAAACAAATTGTGTAATGCAATCCACAAATGAGTGAGTAAAAACGTTTTTTAAGACTTTCAATAAGAGTTTTTACTATTTTTATATTTTTAGACCTTCTATAAAAGTCTATTTGAATAAATATTGCTCACGACCTTCATGGTCTTGGAAATATAATACTATTTTTTTAATATTAAAGCAACAAGACCACTTACAACAAACAAAAATTATTTTTAACCACAATCTATAATAGAGATCCTTAAGATTATTTTATAAAATCGATTTTTCCATTTTTTAAAAACCAAACACTCGCCCATGTGCTGCATTTCGAGTTTGCTCGAATGTGAAACATTTTCCCAAATTTGGTGTGCTCCATTCCGAATTCCC